TTGTAACTTAATCGTTTAGCTACTGGTACTTGTTCTTCATTATTGTTTTGCTGAGGTTGCTCATTTATGCTTAGACGTTTGAGTACTTGGCATAGAGAGTCTACGCTTTGCATTAAATTTAGCAATTTTCACAGCTTCCTTTGTTGCTTTTTCTTCATCTTTTTGTTTGAGGAAATTGATCACATTTTCTTCGGTAATACATTTTTCGCCCAGTTTTGACATATTGCACTGCTTTCAATTCTTAACATGCAATTGATTTCTGGCTTGAAACAACTGCTTCAACTCTATCTCAATACTTTTTTGTAATGCTCAATACAAGCTTGATACCAATCAAAACTTGAAGCTGGTTTAGTTGAGAAAGAAGGTAATTGGTGTGCAGTTGAAGTAAGTGCTGCGGCGGCTGTTAAAGGTGATGAAGCTGTGTCTGAGCAAGATGGTGTAGGTTCTCCAGAGGCTGCTAAAGTTGATGAAGATGGAACAAACGTGTGACTGCTAAAGCCTCACGATTTATGTTGTTTTTCACCACTTTTCTGCAGCAGTTTGAGCAACGGTGGAAAATTTTGTTTATTTAAATTCTTACTTTTTAAGTCTTTGTAATACTTTGTAAGAATTTCTTTCCATGCTTTTTTGATATGACAATAGACACCTCTATCCAATAGTTGTAGAATATGTAAAAAAAGGATTATATTGTATTTTTAGCTATGTGAGTTGTATGCTCATCTAATACTAAAATATGAATACCACCAATTTGCTTGGTTTAGGGTATAAATACTTCTTTCAGCAATTCAATAAACATATTGTACTTCATCCAACCTGATTTTGAAATTGAATATTTGGTGCCAGCTGGATCACCTCTTGTCCAGTCAGGACGAAAGTTTATTTTGGCTTTGAATATCACAAATGGTGGTGCAAAGTGCCTATCAGCGTTACAGCAATTGTTTACAGTATAATGAATCTTTTCATTGTTGCTAGTAAATTTAAATACAAGTCTTGTCCCTTTTCAACACGTTACAGTTGCTTTGCCTTGATCAAATGAAAAAGCTGTTTCATCACAATTCCAAATAAACAACCCAGAAGTTATACCAGTCTGTTGATATTGCTTAGCAACGCATAAATAACAAAATAACAATCAATTACTTCTGGCATACAAGAAGCGGCTCTTTTAGATGCTAAGTTATCCGCTTTTCTTGATTAGGTTTGCCATTTTTGAATAAGTGCAATTGATCTTTGCGTTTAAGGTAGCCACATACAAATTCTATGATTTCATTTTAGGTTAAACCATAACCCAGTCACCAAGTAATTGGATTGCATGTACCATCAATCTTTCTGTTTCATTTGAGAGCACTGTTGTTGTACCTAAGCCATGGAGGCCTTTGTTGCTGTTATTTTTGCGATCTTTGAGCATTGAGACTGAAACACCATATTTGAATGCAGCTTTTCTCAGTGTGTTTTATTTTCTATCATATCAGTTAATGCGGCTAGTATATCATCTTCCTTGTATGCTTTTGTTTTTTTAGTTGATATATTAAAGTGAGTTAAATTGAATTGAGTGATAGATGATTATAATAAGAAACAACATATTTTTTATAATAATTGGTTTTTAATGTAATTTTAATTGTAAATGGTTATTTGCAAAAAACTAAACTAAGTAATTAATCGAATGTGCGGTTTAAAATTTAAAAAAGTAAAAATTTTATTTTTACTTTTTTAATTTTTTATTCAACTTTTTGTTGTAACTGCATAAAAATATACTATCAGAATTAAAATTAGTGCTAAAATTATTTTTAAATCAGTTAACAAGATAGTGCTAAAATTATGTTTATATCAGTTTCAGTTCAAGCGCTATTTTTTTTGCAACGATAAAAAATATATAAAATTTTGACTCCCGGTAAAGTTGTAAAAAAAAAGAAAAAAAAAAAGAGTTGAACCAGCATATAATTTTATCAAATCGAATAGTGGAGATAGTTCTGTATTTGAATCTATTTTCATTCCTTTCATAGCCATATCTGTTTAGTTTTTATTCAATGATTTCAATCTGTGTAAAGAATGATATGGTGTGCAGTTTGACCCAGTTTTACTCTGAACTTATTTTCTTAATACTATATATTTAACTTATATTACATCACTTACATAACCAAGCGATTATTATAGTTGATTTTTTTTATCTTTTATTAGGAGTTAGATTTTTCAAAGTAACATAACAAAAAAAATTCAAAAGTATTAAACTCTTTTATTAAAAGGAATAATTCATTTGTTCTGTCAACTCTAGGCGTTTCAAAATGTGCTGGAAAAAAAAAAAATTGAAGATAAATTCTAAAATAAATCTAAAAAAAAGAAAATCTTAAAGAAAAAGAAAAATTTAAAGAGATCCCCAACTGCTGAGACAAGTTGTGTTCATATTAAAGAAAATGATAAAAAAAATCATTGGGGCTGAATTTATTTTAATTAAAACTAAATAATGAATGCACACCATTTTAAAATTTGCCTTTAGTCGAGGCTCGCCATCTCCATTTTTTTTGGTACTTAGAGTCTGTGTAATGTTAGCCGCAATCTGCAGACTTGATAATTTATTCTGTGCGTGTTTAATTCATAACAGTTTCGGTATATGACGTCATCATATAAATTTTTTTTTTAAAGATATCGTATTATTTTTTTACCACAATCACCAAATCATTTTAATTGTATATCTTTTTACTAAATCCCCAAAAAAAGTTTGTGATGCAATTAAAATTATAAAAATAAAAATTTAATGTATAACAAATATTTGTAGTAAATCGTACTTGTTTAAACAATACAAACAAGATACTAAAAGATTAATTTGTGACTTGAATAGATTAGTGACTTGAATAAAACATATAAACTGGACTTAGTAGAAAATAAATATTAAACAAATTATTTTTTTAATAACCATACAAATCAAACTAAATTCAAGTTAAAACAAATATTTGTACTAAAATATACAAAAAAAAAAAGTTTTAATATAAGTATAAAAATGAAAAATTGCATTAACTTGTTTGCTACCAGCCAAACAAAAATCTTTTTGTAGCGACCGCACATTTTTTTTGAATAAAATTTGAATGGCATAACATTGACAATTAATTAAAATTCAAATAGTAAATCTCTTTAAAAGCATAAAAATTTTTATATCAATTGTAAGCTAAACAAAAGTAGTTCTTAAGTGTAGATTTCCATTTTTTTTTTTAATGTCTAATATTTAAATAATTAAACAATTCAAAGAAAAAACAGTTTGGTTCAAAATATTTTTTGTTTGATTTAAGTGGAAAAAAAAATTACATTTAATCTAAAATACTTTTTGCTAAGGAGTTATATTGTTCAAATCACTCTTTATCATTCTTTTATCCACACATTTTCTATTCTCTTTAGCAACCATCATGATATTTTGTCTCATATTTTAATTATGACATTTGTGCACTGAATATTTGAAATAAAAGCTATAAAAAACTTGAAGCTGGGATGAAGATCTAAAAGTTTTCCATCAGAAATTCAAAACTAGATCAAGTATGAAAAAATATACCAGGTGTTTTTCCCAACAAATTTGTGCAAATAAGTGTTCTTGTTTATGATTATAGCATCTCTAATCTCTGGTTTCTTTATTTCAAAATAACAAATATCTTTGGGATAGGGATAATTAATGAATTTCTGTATCATTAGGATTTTCTCTTTATTAGTTCATAGATTATCCTAGAAACATCCGGAAAAAATCTGGAATTTGTTTTCCCTTATTTTCTTTTTAATTTCGCTTTTAGTTAATTTTTTCTAATTTTTTTTGTTACTTTTCTTAATTTTTTTTTAAGCAATGAGTGAAAAAGCTTAAAAAATAAATACATTACAAAAATATATACCTCAACTTGCATGTATTGAAAATATTTTGGATATCCAGAAAAACTAAAAGTTGAAAAAGATATCCAGAATTCCGGAAATATCCGGAAAAAGATAATCCCTGTTAGTTACACCTAGATCTGCTAGTGATACAATTACAACATCTTCAGTCAGAACCATGTATGCCTAAGAAGAGAACTTCTCAGTTGTTTGCCTAGTACTTCGTCTTCTTCCTCTATGTTTTTGTTTAGCTTATAATTGATATAAAAATTGTTTGCAAAAAGATATTTTTATACTCTCTCTATATAGTAAGTTTCTTTTAGGTAACTTTTAGAAATTTGCTGATAAAATACAATTCAGTTAGAAAATATTAACTTCTGAAAACCGCTTTAGGTTAAACTTAAAAAGTCAAGCCTTCATTTCGAACCACTAGAAACTTATGATCAACATTAATTTTAGTAACTTTTTTTTTTAACAGATTTTTTAACTGACTTTTAACTGACTTTATTACAGTGATTTCAGAACAAAAATAAAAGTAAATAAAAGTAGGTACTCATGCCCCCATGTGTTACAAAACCAGAACAATAAAATTTCCACAAAATTCTTTAAAAACAAAGTTATCGATGCACTTTATTTTGTATTATATATAATACATAATACAATTTAGTTTGTATTTTATATAATACATATTATATATAATGATAATAATAATAATACAAAATTATTTCCGTAATCAGTAATAAAAATATATATTAAGTTAAACCTGAATGAAAATCAGTTTTTAAAAATTCTTATTCTCCTCCCTACTGTCCTTTTACATTTTAACAAGCATATTTTTGCCAGAGCATTCTTATCTTGGAAGCCCTTCTCTCAATTAATTTGATTAATTGTGTATTGAAGAAATTAGTTAAAATATATAAGAATAATATAATAAATAAGAATTATTATCATAATAAGAATTAAAGCCTATATATATTTTTCCTGTATGCTATCATATAATACTACAATAGCATACAGGTGACCAGCAAAGTTGTACAGTCTTGTAGACACAAGAAAAGTGATTCTAAGAATAGATTATGGATAGTCTACCTGACTGGATGATTTTAGTAGTCACTTGTATGCAATCATAGTGTTGTAGCAATAAATATGTACCATTTTACCTGAACTAGACCCTCCTTCTTCAATACCAGCTTCACCTGTACATGCTGTTGCATGTAAACCACACGCTTGAATATTACTTAAAATGCTGGTTGATGAAAAGAAAGGAAGATATTGATTTTGTTGCAAAAGAACTGTTGAACGTGTACCAAGAAATAGAGATGAACACTGAGGCCGTCTGGTAGAAGTATGTTGCTAAAAATAAATATTTATAATTTACATTTAAAAACTTAAATGATTATAAGCAAATAAACATATATGCAGTTGCCCTTGTATATTGGGACATGCTTTTCATAACAAAACCATTAGTTTTAAATGATAAGCAATTGATTAGTTAAAGGTTATAACAACAATTAGAAAAGAGTTATTCTTAGACATTATTTATTTAAACTAACTAGATTACAATAGATAATGCACAATTAAAGTAAAATAATAAAAAAAATTAATACAAATATCAAAACTTAAAGTGGAAAGTCAAAACTTAATATTTATATTGCTTATACCACTATTGCTTATAAATAAACAAAAAAATAATTAACATATTTTGACATTTTTGCTAACACTGATAAAATCCTAGTTACCCAGATACATTTATGAAAATTCTATACAATTTTCAAGTTAAAATAGCAATTTTAAAATATTTGATTAGGACTATTTGGTTACTAAGCAAAAACTTTAAATATTATTAATTTGTTAATAATTTATAAACCCTGAAAAATTGCTAAAGTAATTTAAAAACTCTTTAAAAGCGTTGATTTTCATCAGTAAGTTAAGGTATATCACTAAAGTTCAAACTAATGAAAGTAAATAACATACAGAAAATTATTAATTATTTAATAATCTTAAGTGACAAGGTTGCAAGCAACCACTATTTAAATTCGGAGTTACCAGAGAAAAAAGAAAAATGTTAAAGAGAAAAAAAGCAGTTTACAGAAAACTTAAAAAGATTTGAGAGAAAAAAAATGTTTAATTAAGAAAGTATGAAAGTGAGAGTTCAAAAGGATTGATGTGCAAAGAAAGAAGCTAAGGTGAACAAAGGTTTTTAAAGCATAAAGGTCAGATACAGCAAATGATGCTTCTTTTCTGAATGACAAGTCAAGCAAAAACGAGTTTGGTTAACAGAACCAGAGATGATAGGTTGGTTGAACAGCGACCATAATAGTATTAGAAGAAAAGATAAGAAGACCCTAACCCTAACCCTAACCTTGCAATGATCAGAATATGTACTCAGTGAAACATCTGATTTAGGACCCCATATTCAACTATATGGATTTAATGATTACTCTCTACCACCCCCCTATGCATATGTATACATTGATTACAACTTCAATTCCCCCCTCTCCCCAATTCATCACCTCCTCAAGGCCGAGAAGGCCACTACAGACAAGAAGGCTACTTATTTGTGTCTATAACTCTTTCTCAACTCTATAACTCCGAAACAGGAACCTTGACAAACAAGGCTGCTGCGCGGAGAAACGAGTTGAGCGCGGTACAACCAGGGACGTTGTGGGGATCGAACTTGGAACCACTCGTTTATGAAGCGAGCGCTCTACCACTACACCACTACCGCATTTTTAAAACAAAAAACTTTTTAGTTAATTCAATATTTATGTTACATTATAACATTGACTTTTAAACTCATGAAATTTGATGCTTTTTAAAAAAAAAATCTTTAAGTTTTAGGGGAGATTGAGAACAAGAGATCAAACCAGGTTGTATTCGCTGACTTTACCACCCTCCTGTACCCATTTGTACAATTTTGGGTAACCTGTTACCTGTGTACATATTTATGGAAGACAGTTTGGCAGAAATACATCTAACTATATTTACAATATTTTGGAATTGATCAAAAAATGAAAAAGCATCTTTAGAGAACCAAATAATACAACAGTACTCTATACATATATATATATATATATATATATATATATATATATATATATATATATATATATATATATATATATATATATATATATATATTTAAACAATTTAAAATGTATTCTACAAAAAGAGTGCTCAATGTTCTTAAAAGAACAGAGCAATTACAAATTAGTAGAAAATCACTTAGCAAAATTTTTTCTCATTTAACACTGTGTTTCATCAATAAAGACTCATCAGAAATATATATATATATATATATATATATATATATATATATATATATATATATATATATATATATATATATATATATATATATAATATGAATATAGTACTCTAAACAGGACAAAAAAAACCTTGTAGAAGCAGAGAATGAAATTGGAATTAAGAAAATGACAAGCACAATAAAGAGAGGCAACTTTAGCAGATGCTAACTTTGAAATTAATTGTATATATAGTTTCCGGGAAAGGTATTAAGTGAATGGTAATTTTAGAAGACGTAAAATAGAGAACACAGTAAGGGTATTTTTATTCATCATAATAGGAATGTCAACAGTAGTGCAATAGTTGTTTGAAGTAAATAACTGAGTTTAGCTGGGAAAATTAACATGCCACTACAAGCCCCAAGCTGTTACAGAGAAGAGATCAGATTCAAGGTCAGCTGCCTGTTATAAAAGATCAAAGCGATGAATCTTTGTAAAAACATGAGCATATGGTTGTGTCATCAGCAAAATCTTTAGATGTAAAATTGTCAGGAAGATCATTAATAAAGACGAGAAAGTACTTAAGTCTACCTTTACCCTGTAGTACTCCAGAAGTCACTAGAAAAAAGAAGACAATTGGCCTATAAGGACAACTTTAATACTTCTGTTAGAAAAGAATGATGTAATAACCTCTAAAATTTTAACTGATACACCATTCCAAGCAATGTTATGGAAAAGAACAGCACGCCAGACTTTAAATCAAGTCTTTGATTTGACTAGAGCAATAGCCCTACTTTAAATTAGGGCTGTACCGGATTTAATTTTTTCAAATCCGGCCGGAGCCGGATTTTAAAAGAAAACTACAGGAGCCAAAATCCTGTACATCCCTACTTAGTGTTGAGCATGGTCAACAATGTGGACTATTCAGAATACCAAGTGACTGCTTTTTTCTGTTAAACTTCATTTTTGTTATTTAAAAAGTTTTATAGCAATTTCTATATATAAATTAATAGAAATTCTAAAGAAATTCTATAGGCCATATGTTTTAAAAGTTTATAGTAATTCTATTGAACTTTTTTTCCGGGATTTTGTCACTCCGCCACTGTAGTGGATCATTGTGTCTATTTATTTCTGGTTCTTTTGGATATTTCCTTAGCTGAGTTTCAATGCCTTTTAGTAATTGTTGTTTACGTGCCCTGCCACCAGCGGACGTAGACTGAATAATTTTATCAATAAATTGCCAGAGTAATGATGATGATGATGTAGAAAAATTATTAAGCCCGGCTTATTTTGATGGATTTTCTTCACTTTTGTCCATCTTCTGTTCAGCATGCTCAGATTGACTTCAATATTGTTTTTTCAGCTCTCAGTGTTGCCTCTAATGAGGAGAATTTAGTTTTAAATTGTGAGTCAACCAGCCTCGCCAGTATATAAAGAGGTTTTTCTTTTCAATGCTTTTAAAACGCTCATCCAATCACTTGATTAGGGTTGACATCATAGTCTTTATACCTGCATCATTGTAGAATATCGTGTGTCTTCCCTTCAGAATTTTTTGTTGCGTTGTTGTTTGAAATTAGACTAAGCTTATTAAATTATAAAGATATATAAATACAAATACCAAAACAAATATGAGCTTCATAAAATATATAATTACAAAAAAAATTGATTTTTATAAATAAAATATTAGGTATACATGTAAACACGGGCAAAAAAAATGTAACAAATATTTGACAAAATTCAAAACTCCGGCTAAAATTGCCGGATTTGCTAAATTTTTGCCGGAGCCGGATTTGGGCCGGATTTGTAAAAACGGCCGGAGCAGGAGCCAGAGCCGAAATCCGGTACAGCCCTACTTTAAATCAAGTCTTTGATTTGACTAGAGCAATTACCCAAAAACATACAGCTGCATACAAGTGTGTGTGTATGTATTTGAGTGATATGTACACAGTTTTATTCCTAAAACTTGATTTAAAAAAATAAAAATAAACATTTTTGTTCAAGGAAAGTGTGAAGAAGTATTACAACTACAAATCTTTCAGAACGATTAAAAACTAAAATGCTCTGACACACAAAACTCTACTCCCAATACACAAGCATGAAAACTTTACACCAAAGTTTTGACAAAACTAAATTACTGCATTTAAGTCATTTCCTGGTAAAAAATATTATACTTGAGTTTTTTTTTGATGGTGTAATTGTCAAATATTAATATTAACTTGTTTGAAAATATGGCAAAATAATGCTTTTATAATTAGCAATTTGTAGTTGCAGAAAAAAGAGCTTTTGTGATGTCATTAACTTTAAAATTTATATTCAAGTGTCTTTAAAAGTGACTTTTGCCACTTGATTGATTGCATGATATTTTTATTTTGGTTATTTTGGTTGAACTCCATGCACTATGCTGGTTAACTCCATACACTATGCTAAGAAAACTTTGGAGTTGTATAAAACGAGAATTTTATACCCAAAAAAACTGAACCCACCTGTAGCAGGGTGATCATGATTATCATGATCACTTTGCTGCCGGCAACACGTAACCTAGCTTGTTCCATGCCCTATTGTCTTGTAGATTTTGCTTTTTAAATGAAGATTAAAAGTAGTGCACTTTTTATTATCAATACTATCTAATATCTGTCATGTTTATAGTGATTTCTGCTTTTGTCTATTATATAATTGGAATGTCTTAGTTACTGTAATAGCTCATCCATTATTTACTATAGACGTATATTTATATTCTGTCTGAACATGAAGTAAAGTGTTACCTCAGTTGCCAACTAGTGACTACAACTACATAAAATAAGCTAATCTGGGACTCTTGGATGAGTAAAGACTGGAGATAATTTTTCGATAAATACTCATAATGGCAAATGTTAACTGCAACCAGCTAGTGTATTGTGGGAGGCCTCTGATCTAAGACTTTAGGAGTAAAATAATTCTGTTGATCAGTCATGTATATATTCTTTATCTGGTATGCTGCCATAGACATAAACCTGTGTTAAATTGTTTCTTGTTAAGGATAATGAATTCTGGATCTTCTTGATACTATTCATAGATTTTTACACTATTGCCTCGTTGATATTGGTTATGCAACTTTTCTTGTTATAATAT